GAACTTTACCATCCTCACTGTTTATGTTATTTGCTATGTAAAAGGGAGATTATTGCTCCTTCTAAAGAGTTGGACAAAATTTGCTATAGGACAAAAAAATGAGAGACGTCTGACTGGCGGTGAGGATTTTATTCGGGATAAAATTAATTGGCTAATCTTTTTCTCTTTTTTATCTGATAATATAAAAGAAAGTGGGGATGGGAATAGGAAGAAACCTAGAACTATAATCCCACGCTCTAAGCAAATCTTTTTCTCTGCTATTATTATTTAAGTTTACTTGTGCCTCGGCTTTATTTATTACCTTTAAGCGCTTTAAGGATAATCCTTAGTAATTTCAGATTTTCTGTTTTTCTTTAGGAATAGATTGGATTTTACCATTATTGTTGTTTGGAGGAGAGAGTCCCAACGTGTCTTAACACAAAAAATAATTATGTCGAACGTACATGCACACACTACTTAACATAAAAGCGGCAGTCATTAGGACTAACTAAAGTTTGATAAGGGAGAATGTAATATGTTATCATGAAATATATATATTTTTTTCTAAATTAGCTGATTTAAATAGTGATCAGAGATATAATGATTATATTGTCTTAATAAACACAACATAATAGACCAGAACCCTCTAACAATACAGCAGTGGGAGGGGAGAGAAAAATAGAGGGATGAAAATTAACAAAAATTAAAAATGTTGCCTTTCATTGTATCTTTTTTTAATCTTTATTGTATTTGAATTTGGATTTAGCAATCTTCTTCTTTAGAAATCTAAGGCTAAATGCACCACAACATTTAAGTAACTGTTTTAAAATACACAAAGTCTTGTTTTTAGACAAACTCTCCTGCTACTGTTTTCTTTTTTTTTTATCTTTTTACATTTACTGAGTGATGATTTGAAACCCAATTAATTGCAAAGTTTAGGAAAATAGCTCAAATGGGGAAGGGTACACGGCACCCTCAACCCCCCATCCAACACAATTGCAGCCGGGAGGTGAGAACATAAGGACCAATTTATTTCATGAAAACAACCCACTGAAAACCTGGAGGAAGGAACAGTAGAGAGAACTGAGACTATGAGTAATTGAATATGACATCTATGTTATTATTGTTTTTTTTCACATGTTTACCTTCATCGGCTAGTTCCCTTTAAACCAGTATCTGTTATACAGAGAGTCTCAGCTCAAATCTTGTTTTTGCTAAAGTTCTGTCAACAATTGTAATTTACCCTATGTAGCATTGGACTACACTTTTGTGTTTGATGGAAAAGTCTCCAACAGCAGACCTACCAGAAAGGACCAACAATGTGACAAGCTGTTATAAAATATAAGATAAGATCAATTTTATGGATCTATTCACTTGTCACATCAGCTCAATTGTCAAAAAGAAGCCATCAAAAGGAAGAAAAGGTGCATGGGGTACATATTAATCTATTTTTTTATTTTAAAAAAATAGAAGCTTCTACACAAGAATCAGTCTGTCTATTCAGTGCATATCCATCACTATGTTGTTTGGCTTAGCCACAAACAGCCAGATTCAGGTCTGCATAGACAGAGGATCCTGGGGTCAGGAAGAAGCAGCGAACTTTTCTCTTCTACTTTGCATTTCTAATGAACGACATTAAAACCCAATCGCACACTATTTTGTTTTTTATTATTATGTTCTAGAAAGTGGCATATCTGTAACAGAAAATAATAATATTGTTTACATATCTCTATAACTGACTAGATAAGAAAAAAAACAAGACAGTAGAATGCATGTTAATCACCTTGCACAATATGTTAAATGGACGGCATGAATGGCAACATAGCAATAATAGTATATGTATTGGAGGTCTTCATCAGGGGATCCGCAACCCCTAGTGGGGTCCCCGGAGGTACTGCATGGGGGTCGCAATTAGACTTTTTTTTTATTCCCCTCTGCCATTTTTTCCACTAATTGAAATGTCTTTAAATACACATTAACAGAAATTCAACACACTGTAGTAAACAGATAAATGGAGGCAGAAGATGTCTTTCAGTCACCAATAAAAACATTCAGCGACACACAGGAGCTCTTTCAAGTTTCATTCACAACACCTGTCCCATCAACCAGGAATCAAAATCAGAAATACTTTAATTATACCAGGGCTTATTTCAGAATCTATCGAACAAAAAACAAAAAACAAAAATTAATTGTGCATGTTTTTTTGCACAACAGGCTATTTTTATTTACCTCCCTCCATGTGGTTGATTATGGATGAGAATCCTCTAAGCATGCTGACTGTAGGCTGAACCATGAAGCAGCAGGATCTCCAAAAACAGAGCAGGGTCCAGTTTTGCCAGGCTTCTCCTCCTCTGCAGACACGGCAGGAAAGCAGTCGGTTTGAAGTCTCTGCACAGTGTTTCATTTTATTTAAAATAAAAGAAAAAAAGAAAAGGCAAGCGTCAAAGCTCAGCCCAGGCAGGCTTGGGTTCACCTGGACGCAGGTTGATAAGAGTGTCGTTAAAGTGGGGATTTTGGCGTGGATGATTTTCCTATCTTGTTCCACTCACCTTTCCAGGAAACAGTGCCTTTAATTGTTGGGCAGTTTTAAGTGGCCAAATAAAATGTTAATATAGGTCAAAAGAAAAATTTCCATTGTGTCGTTACTCTACACAAACTGTGAGCAATCGGCTGAATCGTGTTTTCTGGAAAACTGGCCTTTAAATTTGCAAAATATAAGGAAAGGAAACTCCCACACCTGTGCATCCGTTGAACATTCAACACCTTATCTTTAATCGTCCCCTACCCCAGGGGCATCTTTATTCAACATCATGCAAAAGTTCATTTGTGTATTTAACTTCAAAATGTGACATTAAATGATTGCAAGCACATGTCAGTGTCAACTTTATTTTTATAGCACATTTAAAAACAGCTACATCTGCCCAAATTGCTGTACAACAGACTTTATAAAGTGCAACAAATGAGTAAAAATATGATTACAAGTTACAAAAAACATTAAAAATATTGTTACACTGAGTGCAACAGCTTTCATACTGCTTGCATTTTCTAAAGTGCAGTAAATCTTAAGGCTTTTTCGCCAAAGTCCTGAATCGATTCGATTTTGATTCATACAGTTCTAAATTGATTCATTTCGATTCAATCTGTTTTTACAATAATGAAAATGGTTCAACTGTGTTTCAAAATACTCATGTATTTTATTTTTCCTGTCACATTAAACACAAAGTGCAAACTTGTAAATCAGACAGTTTAAACATGAGATGTGAACAAAACTGTCTCAAAAGTCTAAACTTGTTTGTGAAAAGTGAAAAAGTGAAGCCTCACTCGAGCAAGCAGACATGACACAGCAGACATGCATGAGCTGCATTATCTTCCCGGAACAAACCATATTTGCAGCGTTGTCTGTAACAACTACAGGGTGTTTTCTGGTAAGCCCCCATTTGTTAATGTCTACAGTCAAACTATTGGGTGTATGTGCAGCTGTCTGGCTTGAAGTCATCTTGAGTGCATCTTTCCTACTTATTTTGAATGTGAATGTCACGCGGGTCACTACAAAATGAATCGATCTCATTCCCTAGACATCGATTTTGCAAATTTGTAAAGGAATCGATTCAAAATCGATTCAATCGATTTTTTTACTGTCTTTACCATTTTTCATCTCTTGAACACAACACAAGGGGAAGATCACTATTAATAGTGAAAGCTGAAGAGCACCAGCTTTAGTGTAGCATGTCAAGGCCCAGAGAAATGGAAAGTGAGTGGAATTACTAGTAAAGAATCTGAGTTTCTTAATCTATTCAAAAATCCTGACTAGCAGAATCTGTTGCAACATTATGGCCCTGATAAAATCTGCAAATGGCCGAGTTCCACATTTGTGCCTGGTTTAGTAGGGCCATTGTAAGTCTTAATAATTTTAGCCTATAATATGATTCCAATGATTCATGATGTGTAATGGTAGCTCAAGTTTGATAGTATTTAACAGTAGAATGGGAGGTTGTGATGTTGGAAGTTTGTGTCCTAATATTGCTATGTTGTTCTGTAAGTATACAGAACAACATAGCAATATATTCATATATCCGGGTCTTATAAGCAGTGGCCTTTTAAAAAACTTACATTACACACACACTATATATATATATATATATA